CACGAAAAAAAAACGCGTTTTGGGGGCGGCAGACGCGGGCGCGCGAACACTAATTTAATTTAATAGAGGCATCAATATAAACTCATTGATAGTGTGTAATATAACCAATTTAATATAATATCGAACTGTTTACAATCCACGGTTATTGTAGTACTCATAGGTCAGTTCCAAATATGTGTGAATATTAATGTAATTGAAACTGATATCATAACGCTGGCGCGTTTATAACTGCCGCCCCCACGTCCGCGCCGCAAAGCTTTTTTCGCACCGAACTGTACGTATATATATACAATCCGCCGCTAATTTTAGGGTCCTATTGACTTAATTGTTTCATAAACGTTTGCGTTTGTGTTTAATTGTTTGCACGCCGCGTACACGTTTGACAAGATGTAAATATCGATCTTAATTGGTGCGATCTTCACGGTCCAGGGTATGCGAATCCATCGGGTTACAACACGAGCAGGACACAGGTTTACCTCCGAATGGGAATTATATTATGACCATTAAAAAGCGGCTCCATTTAAGTCGAACTATGACCTATCCTTGAGAACCTGGTAAATAGCGAAGACGAAAACGTCAAGAGAAATTGTCGAACTTCTGTTGTGTAATTTAAAATAAAATAAAGAGAATGGAAGTTCGATAATCTCTTGATATTTCAACCGAATCGTTGTCTAGCATTTTCAAGCAAACTTTTGTTAGTGAAGTCTTAACATGCAGGGTGACAAATAAATTGGTGCCGCCTTATTTGGAGCTGAGTTTATCAAAAAAATTGATGCCTTTTCCAGAATATTCTTACAGTTGTAACGATTCTCTATTGTGATTTCAAATAAAGATCGCAGCACGACAACGGTGAACGGTTGAACTACTGTTCAGTACATTAAAACATAACCTGATTAGTCGTTTTCAGTTGCAAAAAAAGGAAAAATAAGCAAAAACAGTTATTTACTTTGAAGTTAGTAAGTGTGCAAAAATTCAGCTGATAAAATTTAAACTATAGAAAATATTTTTGTGAAGTTGATCTCCAAATAAGTGCTTCACAAGCGGCCCCATAAAATATTTGTTGAGCTTTTAATAAAAAATACAGAGATTCTAATTAAAAATATCTATGCATTGTTCATGGCTGGGAGCTGGTGCATGGCCGTGCATACTTTTTACTAGGTAATACATGTTGATACAATTTTTGTCTTTTATAAATAACGTAAAATTTAGAGCTTTAAACCCATGAAGTAGATTTGTTAACAGATATTGAGTGTGCTAAGCAGTGATGAATTCCTTTCCAGATTCCAGTGGTTTGTTGTGTTTCTAATGCAGCCACTGTGAATTTGGGTTTTTGAGCGGAATTCATACTCTTCATGAGTAGAGGTGTTCATGTTCTCTAATACAAAGGAATTAATATCCTTCTATCATTTGTGTTGATTAACAATATTTGAGTAGAAAAGAGCAGACTTCAAACTTCGCTTTTAACTGTCAATAAATGGACGACAATCATCGGAAGAATATTTAGAAAGGTCAATATTTTGCAGAAAATCTCTAATACCATTACATAATACAAGATTGCTTTCTTGAGAGACCAATGGTAGCAAATATTTTTCTCTTTTGCGGTAAAAGATAATTTTGATTTCTTGTTCCTTGTTTTTTGTTCAACAAGGAAGTGGGCAATTCTGGTTGTCCTGAATTTTAAATAATTATTGACTAACTGTCTGACTTAATGACAGACCCACTAAAAAATACATTTTCTTTTGCTATACTCAGCTTCGTTACCCACGCTCAGGAACTACTTCTGAGTTTCAGTATATATTTTAGCCATGGCATTTTGACGTTCGTCTATTCTTTATGGTTGCGTTACACACCACCCCGTGAATGGATTCGTGCCGTTTTGCAAAAATGAACCCAAAAACTAATGGGCGTCACTCGTTTAATAAAAAATCAAAATCAAACTCGTGACTAAAATAGTGTTTATCAAACTTGTTGCAAAACACATTATTAGAATTGTTTAATTAGGGTTACACCGTTTATAAATGATACCAACCAATTTATATAAAATAATATTGGTAATTTTTTATTTGCATTATATTATGAGACTGCCGTAATTTTTTAGGCAAATATTCTCTTTAAGCATTAAAATTAATTGAATTTCAAATTCCATATTTTTTGCCTTTTTGATGGATACAGTAATAAACGTTCAGCAAGTTTAGTTAAAAATTCCAAGGTTATATGTTACACGTAAGAACTCAAAAACAAAGCACTCCGTCGATAAAAACGGCTTGCATCCTTTCTGAAATCTAGTCGTGTCGCAGCATTTCCAAAACAAAACGATTGCACTTACCAATTGACGGACAAATATCACCACATTTAAAAATCGAAAGCATTTATTGGAGTTATTAATTTATTTAATAACAATCAGGATTCAGCAGCTCAGTTAATTTGTAATACATTAAAATTTCATTTGATTATGATGAGCAAAAATTTTAACATTTCGAATATGAGATTTTGAAAATGCGGTATAATATTTTGACTCTGTTGTTGCAATTTTTACCAATATTTCAGGTGATTTGTATTTTAACTTTGAAATACAATGTTTGCTTAGACGTGACAAAAACATGATATCCTTGACAAAACTGTGATGTTCGACGTCGGGCCAACGCAAACAAAACCAGCTTCGTTCTTGTACAAATACTAAATTTGAATTTTAAAATTGAATTAATCATCATTGGAGTTACTTTTTGCAAAATATTTATTAAACTCTAAATTAAAACAATGATGTATTATGCAGTTATCACAATCAAGGGTGCACCTAAAATCCTCAGTCAATATAGAAAACTTGTTTCAGGTTTATGTTCAGAGCTAAATGGACCGACATATGCTGCAGAGCAGAACTCTATTTTGTCTATTTTCCCAAATTTCTTTCACACCAGACACGCGCATACAGCTTGTTGCTGCTAAAACCTGCGGTAGATCGACAACTTCATGAAACTACTGTGTTACTTTCAGAGCCGAAAAACTCTCCCCTTGAGATATTTTGCACGTGTTTCTGAATGCGGCCCTGAGACTTGTCTCCATGGCCCCCTCGGACTAGTATTTCCAGTTAGAGTTTGGCCATTGTTCAGACTCTAACGGACAATCCTTTTTCGTATATAAATAAATGGACGATGCCGGGCGGAGTTATTATGATTTAAAACTGAATACGGTGCACAATTACGTTGAGAATTTGCGCGTGTAGAATTTATTCATAATGCCGGTATGTATGTATGTTTTTGTTTTCTATTTATATCGACAAACGCAATTTAGATATAAAATGTAATAAAAATTTTGGTATAACTCTAAGAAACCCAATATTTTGTAGCATTAATCTAATATCAAGAACCGATTTTAAAATATATATTTATCCGGCACCATCGCACGATGAACTGATTTTACAGGTTACTATTTTTACGATATTCTTTTGAAATTCGATAGAGTCGCCGTTTGATGTCTATTTCATATATTTTTTATTGATAAGACCAATTTTTGATTAGTGTTTAGTGTTTAGAAGCTAATTTCATAAAATATCGCCAATATATGTGATGGAAAACAATGCTCTCCGTCTCGCGACTGAAAAGTGTATTAAATATTTATGGTATCGCATAACTTGGTTGCAGTTGCTTTGTTTTATGTGTCTAGTTTTCCACTATATGCATAATTTTGTTCTGTGATTGGATAGTCTGTTGGAAAAATAAATAACAAATTTGTAAATAACGCGCGTGCTTAGAAATAGTCCCGGGTTAAGTACATCCTGACAGATTAACGTTTTCAGTAGTTTGTTAAAGGCGTCATTAAATGATTTACTAAAAGTTTGGAGAATTTTGTTTACGCTAAGAATAAAATTTCGCTATCACTCTGTTCTTGCTAATATTTTTTCTGCTTTATGAAAATTTTTAGTGTATTCACCTTTCGTTCCTAAAAGCACTTCACAAAAAGTTAACAAAACTCGTTCATGCTTGTCACTAAACTTTTAAGGGTTTTGTGAAAATGAAGAAAAAGTATTTTTAATCATTTTGAGGACAATGCGTGATGGGAAGTAGAATTTATAATGTAAATTTAATATGTACTTGAAATTAAAAAAAAAAGATCTTCTTATAACGCATCCCATTGGTATATTCGGTATTAAAAAACAAATTTATGTTGAGGTATCGAAGAGAAATTTATTGACACGAAAACAAGTAACATACAATTACGACCTTTATTGTGAATTTTAGCTGCAGCCACTAAATTTGTCTAATAACTACTAACATATTATTTTTTTCCCAAAATTTGACATTTAATTTAGCTAAAAGTCACTTATTGTTTTGACAATTTGTCTTTTATTTTGACAGTATTTTGCTTTATATATAGTTGAGAAATATTGTAGTCTATCATCACAAGTACTTTATAATTTTTTTTGTTTTATAAATATATCATTTGGTTAATTTTTAAATGTTAAATATAAATATACATCAAAGATTTAAGAAAATATTTTAAAATTTTCTGCGTTGAGACGTGCACCATTAAACTGAAACAAAAGAAATATTTTTGAAAAATATGGTATCACTTAATTTTTAGATTGATCCAAGGCAAGGGCCCTATTACATCGAAGTACCTTATATAAAAGAGTCAAGTGCAAAAAGAAAAATATGCGTATTTGGGATAGATCCAATATTATAAATGGGCTCCAAATTGAAAAAGCTGAAAATCAGAAGTCGATTCATATTAGAAATTTTTATATGTTTATCGAAACGGATTGCTTTTACCTTCTCGGAAATCAGTTTTATTTCCACTGAATCATCCATTATGGAACTTTTAGGTTTTATTTATATGGGATTAGACTTAAAGCGTCGTTGTTTGTTTCAATTTTTGCGCATTGCTTTAATAAATATTGTCTCGCGTTAAATGCGATTTCGAAAAATATCACTATAAAACGGGAGTAATAAAAAGAAAAAAAAACAGAAACGAAATCATATTTATTAAACACACATCAAATTTACCTTAACACTCTCGTTTACTATCCATATAGGAACAGTCGCACGGCAAAATATTCAAAGTCCATCGGAAACGGTGAGCGAACGTAACCGACGAGAAAAAAAAGGCAAAAATAAAAAAAACAAAAGGCGACCGAAGACGACTGACGATTAAGAAGAAGAAACTCGACGAAATCTTAAAAAGTCGAAACTATTATCGCGTGAACGCGTCAACGATTCGCACAAGTCAAGTCGCTCAGGATATTTGGTCCTGTGCATGTCCTTACGGCACGAGGGATGTGAGTGAAGTGAAGGCGCCTCCGAACTAAGACATGGGTTTAAGGCGCTCCTGCAACGAAAGAAAGCGCCGTAGCAGGAGGACGCCTGCCGTCGACTGGCACAAGACGTCGCGGGGGCGCCGTGCGCGCCGACGCCACCGTCTCTCCCCACCCTTGTCGGCTCCGTGACACGCCTTCCGTAAGGGGAGGCTGGCGGCTTGATAATTAAGTATTATTTTTAAGTAGCTCCTAAGATTTTTAAACGAGACTCTCGGTTTCATTGTTTGTTAACGCCTTTTTTTTCATTTCCTACCCGCACCGACGCTTCGCGTCCGCATGTGTTTCGAATGCGCACTTGTAGGATCGCATGGATGGTTGGATAGAATTTTTCCAGTTTTTCTTTCCGCGATCTCGTGTTTATGAGTTTAAAAAGCAATTATACCCCGGGTGGTTTTGTGCGGGGCTAATTCGGCGAAATGTTTTTTCCAATTCTGCCCGGTTTGTTAATTCAAACTATAGGGTTTATTTTTTCGTTTTTCCAGGACATTATTTTTTGTCCGCTTTACGCGTGCACCAAAATTTTGTTAACAATATGGCGCTTACTTTTTCTCATTTTCTGCTTAATAACAAATCGAATTATGACCAAAATATAGATCAAAAAAAATTTACAGAGTGCATAGGTTTACAAAAATAACAAGTCTGAGCCGTTTTATTTAATTTGTGCAAATTTCTAGGCATGCATTTAATTTCATTGGAACAAAATAGAAAACCCCAAATTTTATAGATAATTTTACAAGGCTCTTGGACAAATCATTTGACCCTGGCGATATTTGTAAAACACCTTTCGTGTCTTTACAGAAATATGTGTTGGGTTGTCTTCATATGTATTTTTTTGTGAAGGGCATGATTTTGCAACATGAATCTTTGCTTCTTCTTAACAAGTTACTTCTATTTTTTTTGAAAATAAAAATAAATCGAAAGCTCAAACGTGTAAAGCATATCACATCTTTACTGAAACTCGACATAGTCAACATGAATCGATCACTTCGTCTCCACTAAGTTGCTATTTTTCCTTCGGAAAAATTGACAATCTAAAATGTTCTAATTTGTATCTTTAATTGACTGTTAAAAGAATAAGCAACCTGCAATTTCCATGTCAAAGCAATTAAGAGTGCCGCCAAAAGATATTTATTCGGTGTCATGATGCGAATAATTTTAAACGTTGTAAATGTTTTAACGCATTTTCTTGGCTAGGCCTAGATTATTTTTTCAAAACAGTGTCGGAAAACTAAATCGCGCGTAATCAATCGAACATCCAAACTGGCGATAGCGAATACCCCTTCCCCACGCTCACATTCGCACATATCGAGGATTTTCGCTATTGTATTGTTTTGCTATGTCTGACCTCCCGATGACAAAAAGCTAAATCAACGCAGCACTCAGACCGATAACGAACAGAGCCACGGTTGGCTACGTTCGAATCGTTGGAAATGAAAATGACATTGCAGAGGATAACTTGATCAACCCTTATTTTAGATTAAATCTGCTGTCATTCCTTTTGTGAGCGTTTCATTGACGAGGAAAAAATCGACTCGATTTTTGTGGATTTTTTCAAAATGGCTTGGCCGCTTAAACGTTTTCGATTGCTTTACGTAAATGACACACCAGGCGAACTAACCAAAGCATGCGACATCGTAGCAACAAAAAATTAGAAGCCATGCTTTTCGTATTTCTTTATCACTTTTCTTATTAATCGTGGGTTTTTAAGGTCCGAAGGCATCCACGGCGATCTGTAGTCTTTCGGTCACTCACTAATGGGTTTTAAAACGCACTTTTACTCTCACTGTAGAGGTCCGGATCCCACACGCACGGTCACGTTCACTGTTATTTTAAAAGTTTTTTTTAAGTCACCTTTTTGTAGAGTCGGCCGAAACGAAAAAAAAAAAAAACGTTTACAAAAAAAATAAAAAAAGCGTTTTTTTTCTCTAAATCTTACCTTGTTTTTTTTTAGGGGTAAAAAAAAGCGCGTACACTTACTACATAGGAATGATAGCACTTGGGAAACATGGCAATGAATGTCTGTCTTGTGGGATACTATCAGGCATTATCAAGGAGTGGGGAGACGCATGAGCAGCGTCGCGACGCCAAGGATGCCGGACGCTGGCGCCCCCCGACGTCCTTCGGTAGACGAGACAACTTTCGACGCAGTTTTTTTGCACGCACCGGACAACAGAGAAGAGAGGCAGTAGGAGAGAGAATGGGGTTGAAAACCAGTTCGGTCCGTTTGGCGGCTGGCTGGTGGCGGTAGGAGGAATGAGGATGTGCACGGAGGATACGCGGCGGCAGTTTCGTTCCAAAGCGGGAATTTTCGAGTCGGGATGAGCACCCTGATGCACGATTTGCTTTAGTTTGATTTCGAATCGCGTTTGCGCTTTCGAATTCTATTTCTTTTTTTTTCTTTGAAACCGTTTTTCTCAAAACTATATTTCTTATGCCCGTTTCTCACTATGCAATTTTAGGAAATGCAACGCAATGATATAAACATTGGCCAGTTACAACTGCGGTTGCTCGTTGTTTCACATTCGTGTAGTAAAAAAGAATTATTAAAAGAATGCAAGCATTTTTTAAATAAATATTCATTTTTTGTTACGTTAGATCCGGAGTGCTGCAAATGATAACAAATATTAATAAAATATTAATCACGAGGACAGAAAATTTTGAAAAGAACTTAGTTGTGTATAAGGTGGCCCGTTTAACATGGAATGACATTAACTCAGAACCTATATAAACTATCAAAAAACCTTAAAGACATAAGTTGCTTAGATTGCGTAATATTTTTAAATTGTTGTATTATTATTTATGTACAGGATGTTTGCATCTTCATGGACCGTAAAAAATTTCTTATTTTAAAGGCATTTTCGAATTTCTCATGATTCTCTAGACATATTTCATATTTATATATAATACACAGCGTGGTCATGCCCAACTAAAATACTAATATTGCCAATAGTTTGCGCATAATATTTGTGCGCGATAATAAAATTTTATGTTTGTTGCAACGAAATTTAATAACACTTAAAAGTTTTATCAAAATTATTTTTAAGTGGCCAAAGCAATAAGCATATTAAGAAAGCATCACTTGTATAGCAAAATGTTTATTGAAAATAATTATTATTACAAAACTCTACTAATGAAGACAAACATGTCATGGCAGATAATTATGAAAAACTAACAAAAATAGATAATAATGTTAATCTTATTCAATTCATAACTAATTTATTTCAAAGGCCTTTCTCGAGACAATTAACATTATCTGAGAAAGCAGAGTTAGTTTGAATGTGTGGAGATAATTTTAAACCAGTGCGTGGAACAGCAGACATCGTCAATGGACGACATCCAGATACCCAAATTCACAATGAAAGTGATTAGTAGAATTAAAACTCATTTCAAACAGAAAAAAGCCTATTAAAATATATAATAATATTAATGTTATGGACCAATGTTAACCAATTTACACCTACGCAATTAAACAAAATAGGAAAAATAACAAATTTTAAGAAAAAAAACATATTTAGAAGGCAGTAAAAATAATAATTAAAATTTCAATTATGGAAGCGTTTCTGTATGCCACCTTCTCGCTCGATGCATGAATCATGAATTTCGCTAACGGTTGATCTCACTCAGTATATTTGGTGTAATATTTCTGTCTCTCTGTCTGGTCTTATAAAACTTTCAAGTTCTACAAGATTATTAAATAGCCAACCCCTATAAACGTTTTGTTTCAAATATCCCCATAAGAAAAAAATCTATTAGGATGACATCTGGCAACCGGGAAGTTCACCTTGGATCGTTGTTTCGTCCTAACAATTTACCAAGTTATCTATTTAACAATTCGGTAATAATTCTAGAAGAATGCGCAGAACACCCATCATGTGCAAACCACAGTTTATGACGTTCTTCCAAACACAATGTGTACAAAAATTCCTATAATTTGTATGTATAACCAGTGAAATTTTGGCCACACATTTGTTTTTTGGTTTTAATTGTCAATAACGAAATTCGCATTTTCATCGAACCACCCCTTCAATTTTGAAAAGAGACAACACCATTAGTTGTGAACGTGGATTCATCTCACAAAGGAATGTGTTTACGGAAACCACGCTGATTTTCTGTTTGTCCTTGAATCCACATGCAGCAGTTGTACAGCAAATCAGTCTCGTTCTTGAAAGGTGCAAATAAATTTTAATTTATAGGCGTGAGACCTATTTTTTCTGAGAATCTCAACTTTCTTATTTTCAACAACTGCATGAATTAATTTTAGTTAATCTTCTTCATTAAATACAGTTTGAAGACGTTCATTCCTATAATATTTTCACTCTGAAGACCCTGTCTGTTTAAAATGAGTTAAAATCCTGCTAATCGTTCTAATAGGGAATTTGTTTATCTGGATGTGGTCCATTGAGGATATTTGGTATTTCACTAACTGGTTATTAAAAAATCGCGGCTAAATTGATTTGATTTTGAATGATTGATAAATTCAACAAAAAATATTGAAAAAAAGTAAGGAAATTATTAATATTTTTGGATTTTTTGTTGTAACTTTTCATTTGAAACAATTTTTGTTAATAACATTTGCCTCAATTTTTTTAAAGAAGGGTACTTTACTCATGTGCAATTTTGTATAGTTTTTAAATTGCAACTATGTTAAAGGCCTAATATGATTATGAAACATGCACCAACTTTTGGAGGTATTAGTATTCTAGTTTTTGACAAATTTTTGTCAAAGGTGACCTTGGAAGTTCTAAATTTATCTAGCGATTTCTGCGGCAGAATGTCTTTGTTATATATTTGGAGTTGATTTACTTCT